ACAATTCCGAGAAACGGACAAAGGAATTTTTGTAAACACAATGACGCCGGGCGGCCGTTCGGCAATACCGAAGTTCAGTGTAACAAAGGAAAAATCTCAATCACTAAAAATGCTCTGATAAACTGTTTAAAAAATTATTTCACATCACAAAATCACTTGCACTGAGTCCCGCACATTGTATTTTCAATGTTCACAGGCGGCGCCGGTTTTCTGCACTTACTGGGACCCCGATGTTAACGAATTTTCACTACGCGATACACAACCGACCGTTCCACGCACTGCCGCCGAACGACTGACTCCCCACTCAAAATGACGGGGCTTTGGAGGTAGCGCTCGAGTGGGGGGGGTCGCCAGGCGATACTCCGCGCATGCGCACAGAAGACCGTGCAGACGCACGCACACCGTGCATGCGTACGCACACCGCGGGCAATTTCAATTTGACGAGATAAGATAATTGCGAAAATTCTGAACCTAATAAATAATTCTCTCTTAAAAAAAACAGTGCAATCACGCAACCCCCAGAATTGAGCCTCTACTTTGGTCAATCCTCTTTGGTAGTAGTGCACCCCAAGAAAGGGAGGGCCTCTACTTCAATCAATCCTCTTTGTTCCTCCCCACTACTTTCCCAAGTAGTGGTGGGAAAATGTAAAACCATTTTTCAAGTGCTCATCATTGCTCACCATTTATATTTAACCTACAGAAGGCCGACCAATTCCAATCTCCAAGTGCTATTTTGTGCTGTTGTGCATTCCCTGAAAGATGTGCCCCTGAATAAAAAAATGGAGGGCCCCCGAACACCAATGGACAATCTTCTGAACGTGTTGTCAGGCTTCTCAGTGGGTCATGAGAAAGCCCTGAAGCAAGGAATCTACAATGCAGTGGCCCTTTTGGTGCTATTCCTCACCTGTGCTGCAACCTACGGTCTCTATCTCATTCTCCACCCATTCGTGAAGCCCTTGATCTGGGCCCTTCTCTGTGGAAGTGTCCTATTCCCCTTCAAGCTGTACATAACCACATCAGTTCAGTCCTGGTTCACAGAGACAGAGAATTCTCACGAGCCCTTGCTGGTAGACCTTGCAATGCTCCCCATCAGGATAACCGACAGAATCTCCAATACAATTGGAAATTTTCTGCACCAACGTCTGAACTACGTGGGTGTTCTCCTGGGAATAATCTCTGGAATAATAATGATCTACTGGTACACCCCTGGAATCCTCCTGTGTCTGATCTGGAGGCTGATGCAGCTGGTGATGGGCCTGACCTCGACGTTCATCACCACCTGCAACATCTACATAATCTCGAGTCTGATCCTGGGGTATCTCTCAGCGGTGTACGTGTACTGGACCCCGAGGAATGCCCAGCAATTCAATTACTTCTCGATTATTCTCTGGTTAATTCTCAGTCTCTACATCTCAAACATTCTGGGTGTCTACGAGGTCCCCGTCTTCATTGCCCTGCAGACCCTCTTCATCGTGGGCTTCACGTACGAAGTTATCCTGATCATGGAAACGAAGGATGCCCAGGACAAGCCCCTGACATTTGCAGAGGCAGTGCAAGTAGCCCTGGCAGGTGAAGAAGCCCCCCAGGAGGTGAAATCCTCCGAGGAACGTGACGAGGGAACTGACACATTCCCTGAATCAACGTCTACCCCAAAACTCACCCCAGAGCAGATCAAGGAGCCCTCACCACGACCTCAGAGGCTCTCGGCGAAATCGCTCTCCCTCGATGCTGATTCTGATAAATTTAGAACAACAAGATTATCAGGACGATCCTCGAGCTTTCCCAATGCCCGAGTCACTGTTCGAGAGAGGTATTTCTTGAGAAAACTCAGGACTGAACTCAGGATGTCTCTGGACGCTCCTGAGGACGAGGTTGACACTGATAAATACATGTACGGGGCGATATACGCCTGCGGGGGAATGCTCCTGTGGAAGCACAAGTGGATCCTGGGGATTCTCACTCTTCCCATTGTCTGGTACTTCCTGAAGCTCCTGGGAAGTAGATCGGGCTTCTGGAGGTACCTCCAAGGTCAGATGAAGAGGCTCGTAGAGTTCATCAAGGCCTGGTCCAGTCAGCGACAGCAGGCACTCGTTCCTGCACACGTCAGAGGACTCTACAGAGTTTATCTGATCGTTGATAAAGGCCTCAGGGACATTCTCAAAGGATCTGTCGATGCTGTTGCAACGATTGCTGTTATCTTCGCACTCATTGTCTTCACGTTCTCTGCAACGATTTTTATCACTGTCCAGATTTATGGAGAGGGACTGCATCTCATTCAAGTCACTGGAGAGATTCTCAATTCATCCCTGGTGAATAATCCGGATATTGACTGGGTTCCGGAGCAGTGGGAGGAGTCTGTTAATTCTGTCCTGGATAATGCTTACACTTATGGCAGATCTGCCATTTCCGATGGGATCAAGGGCCTCGTCAAGGATCTGGAGCCAACGAAGGCTGAGGCCCTGGAGAAAAAAGTTCTCGAGCTGTGGGACAGGCTTTATCAGGCCTGGATGATGTCGAACGAAGATCCTGGGATGATTGGACCCACTGTCGATGTCGAAGCTGCTTTGACTGCCTGGGAGAGCATCAAGGAGAGCTTTGGAAAAATACCCACCCAGATCTTTAACATGACGGGCATTCAGAATTTTGCGAAGGAGAATGTCGGAATTCTCATGCAGGTCCTCGACTCAGTCTGGGGAATTGTCAAAGGGAACATGTCGGTTCTCGTCAGTGTTCTCACTGAACTCATGTATATCGTCTTCATGAGCGGATCTGCTCTTCTCAATTTTACACTCAGTACTGTCGTCTTTTTTACGACTTTGTTCTATCTGCTATCCAGTAGTGGCAAGACTTATAAACCCATTGAACTCATTGCAGTATTCAGTCCGATCAGCTGCTACAGGTGATTCCAGAAGACATCTAATTAATTAATTCATTGAATCTATTATTCTAAAAATAGTTTCGATCAGTTGAGCTTGTTACTGCTTTAAAATTTGTCCTCTGCAATTTATTAATAACAATATTTTTATTTGGTCTGTTTCATTAACGAAAGCAGCAAGGATTTTTTGGGAGGGTACGTGCATGAGAGCAGTAAAAAAATCTATGATTTTTTCTAATTTTCATTATGTCCCTGTTGCAGATTCGCTATTGCCCTTCAGGAGGCTGTAATCGCAGTTTTCGCAGCGACTTTCAAACTCGCTTCATTCTTCGGCATGTGGACTTGGTTCATCCACAATCTTTTCCAAGTGAAGATAGTCTATCTTCCCTCAGTATTCGCCACTGTTCTAGCAGCAGTGCCTTTTCTCGATGCTTACTTCGCCTGTTTACCTGCTACCCTCGAACTCTGGTTCACTCGAGGTCCCATGATCGCTGTTATCTTTTTTGTATTTCACTTTTTGCCTTGCAACATCGTCATCACAGACTTCTACAAAGAAATCAAAGGGTAAGAGATTCTTTCAACGAATTAGCTGGATTTTTCTTCGAACGTGGAAGCAGTTCTAGTTCTAGATTCACACGTCATTCTTGTATCATTAATTGCAGGGGTGGACATCCGTACTTGACAGGATTATCAATCGCTGGTGGGATTTTTTGTTTGGGAGTCGAGGGAGCGATTTTTGGGCCACTCCTGCTGTGTTGTATCATGGTGGCGATAAATCTCAGTCGAAAGTACATGCAATCGGTCTCTGAGGAGACCTTACACTCCCTGAAGACGCAGATTGATCAGCTGGAGGCTGAGCCACCAGTTTCTCCCTGAATTCAAGCGAATTTAGAGAATTCATGCCGTCCTGATGCTCTCGTGCTTCCGTGCGCTGTGTACAGTAATAATTTATAGTGATAAAGCAATTTATCGAACTGTTTCGACTCTTGAAACTAGTCAATTGTAAGTTAATCCAGATGTTTAATATATTCATAATTGACTATTAAGATTTATCGATAAAAGCAGAGCTCTCGAGAGAGGATGAATTAAAAAAAAATCACAAGAGAAATTATAAAATTTCAATTAAAAATATATTCCAGAGAAACGAAATTAAAAATTATTTCTCTTAACAAATTATTGTTAGCAGTTTTAGTATTTCGTTGTACGGAGTAATGTGATGAATTTTTTAATTGATTCTCTCATATTCTGGCTTAAATAATAATATAACTAGCGTTCGTTTGTCTCCGTCACATTTCGCTTGACAGATGCCAAAATTAACATGTGATTTTTTCTAAGTTTCTACTCGTCGATGCAACGACATGCACAATGTAAAACAATGAAATAAAACCTCGAAAATCGTAATGAAAAATTGTTAAAAATGTTTAATTGGGTTTATACATTGATCGGTGCTATTTTCGTGCTCTTTGTTATGTTGATTGCCCTGGAGATTTACTTACATTACGACACGTACTTTCCACTGTAAGTTTTACTCATTAAGTAATTACAAGAAATTTATTTAGAGACAACCAGTAGCACAAATTAATTCTGCGTGATAATTGGTAAATTCCTCTTCTCTCATTAAAATATAAAAAAATATTTGAAAAATTGAAGAGAGTTGTTAATAAATTTTTGTTCAGTTGAAATAGAATTCCATTCTGGGTTTTGGAGTGGCATAAATGGACCCCAATGTTGTGACCGTGATGCCCTGGATTTCAGGCTGCATCATACGATTCTCCAGGAAAAAAATCTTCTTCGATCCCTCCAACAGATGAAATCCATTTTCAGAGAATTTACCAGTGTAGAATCCATTCCCATCGAACCAGACGAATAACTGAGTACATCCGCTGGTGATTGTGACCTCGTAACCGTCGTAGTACTGCCGTAGATGTTCCGGAAGATTGAATGAGGGATACCTACTAATGGCAGCATAAAGATCACAAGCTGGAAGATCGTAATCCTTGGGAGGGCCTGGGTAGACGTAATTCGGAGGTGCTAGTTGCTGATTGGAGGAATCCCGGAGGATTAATTCAATTATGCACTTTTTCTTTGCCTCCTGGAACGTCGAACCACAGGACGCCTCTGCCAGGATTCCCTCCAGACTCAAAGTCGAAAGCTCAATGGCAGAATTTGGAGGCTGAAATTATAGAAATAAACGATTAAATAAACTATTAAAAAACCGTTCATTCCTGCAATGATTCCAAAAATTATTCTCAAATGAAACGTACGACAGTGACGCTCTCCAGTTGCTTGGCGTAAACCTGGGGCATGGATTCACTCCAAATCCTGTGGAACCTGATCTCCACAGAACAATTGACAATTGGCAGGAGCAAATCGGAGACAATGAATATCTTTAGTTGATCGAGAGTAACTCTGGGTGTGACAATGACAGGTGCGAAGAAATCCTTTGCATAATTGTGGAGTATCTTCCATCTGCCATCGACGTCGATGGAGGACCAGGATGGGGCCTGCCAGACATCATTCAATTGCCAATAAAGAGCCCCCATAGTCCTTCCCTCCCCCATCTCATTGACTGTGCTTTTCGCCTGTCGGTAACTCTCTGTCTGCACTTTGACAGCAACAGCCTGATTAATCTGACTGAGATAAATGTAGCTCTCTAAGTCCCTGAGGGAATCGTTGGTGTCTGGAACGTTAAGATTGAGTTTAATCTGGTACAACATGATGCCATCGCCACCTGGGAGGTGCTGTCGATGCTGCAGAAAATCGGAGCCCCTCACGAGATCATTCTCTGGATTTTGGCAGCCAGATCTCAATGTCTTGATGGAAGGCAGCGACTGGAAGCCGTACTCAGAGGCAAACCTCGGACGTTTGTACGTATTTATGTTCCATCCATTGAACACGTAATTGTAGTAATGAATATCTCCGTAGAGATTGGAGTAAGGATCCGTCTCCACCCATCCGTTATTTGCACTGTAGTCACCATTCGTTGGACTCGATACCAGGAAGGGCCTCGTCTTGTCATTTGCCTCCACTTCTTTCTTGATTAGGTCGACGTACAGTTTTATGTAGTCGTTCCTGTACACCTCGTCCTTGCCGGTTCCATACCTGAGGATGTGGCGAGTTATTGTACGGATTCAAGGATTTAGTAACTCTAGATTATATTAGAATTCGAGCAGAGCAGAGACTATAGTGTAAATAATGAGAATAATAGGACAAAGCTTTTGGTGAAAATTGCTCACCAATTTCCATACAAAGCAGCTTCGTTCTCGTTATTCCCTGCCCAGAGTACCACAGAGGGATGATTCTTCAATCTCAAAACATTCTGTTTCACCTCTGTCCTCACAGACTCTAAAAATTCCCGAGTAGTGGGATACATTGCACACGCGAACATGAAATCCTGCCAGACCATTATGCCATACTCATCAGCCATATCGTAGAAATGATCGATCTCGTAGATGCCTCCACCCCAGACACGCACCATATTCTGGTTGGTCTCCTGCATGTACCTCAGAAGGAGCCCTCTGACTGTTTTATTTCCTGTCCTCTCAGCCAGGATGCTGATAGGAATAATGTTAGTACCTTTTGCAAAGATGTCCACGCTGTTCACCCTAAAGTAGAAACTCAAGCCTTTCTCCAAGGGTTTCTGGACCAATTCCACAGTCCTGAAACCAATCCTCTGGGTTTTGTGCTCATAATGCCTCGATGTCCTCAGGGTGGTATTCACGGTGTAGAGGGACTGATCTCCGTAACCGTTTGGCCACCACCTGGAGACCTCGGCCTCTGGAATTAATATTATTAATGACAACGTGGAGGTCTTCTCGTTGTTCGTGAAGGTGAAGCTTGTGCTGTTTTCGTAGCTCTCCTCAGGATCGTACTTCTTGGTTTTATAATTCCACGTAGTATCTTTGTGGATCACTCTGGTCGTCAGGACTCCTGTCAATGGCTTTGAGGCACTGCTGGGGGCATTCATCAGGGTCACTGTCACCCTCACTTGCCAGTGATGATCTTTTATCAACTCCACGTCTGCTGTTGTGTCAAGGATGGTGGAGTCGTTGAAGGCCATCAGCTCGGGGATGCTCCACAATCCTGAACCTGGGAATGCTGGGCCCCAGTCCCAGGAGAAACTCGCCTGCATCTTTCGTATATGATTCACGTGACATTCCCCGTTGTACGATGAGGGCACACATTTTGGGTAGACTGGGTAACTTTTGCTTTGATTGTTGTAAAGAGCTTCTGCTACTTTCACCGGGGAATCAAATGTTATGGATATCTTGTTCTGCTCGGGGAACTGCAAATTCATTTTTCAAATTTTTCCATCAACAATTGAACATTTTGATTATTCAAATCCATTCATTCAGAGGCGAATTATTATTATTATTGTTCTTATTATTAATTTTTTAATTGGAAAAATCATGGGATCATTTTTTCATTCAAATCATTTTTTTTCACTTTATTATTTGCATACTGACCTTGAGGTAGTCCTTTACGTCGTAGACATATCGCAGGTGCATATTCGAAGTGTTGCCGAGTTCATGATCATTCAACGAAATTTTGGCAAATGTATCGACACCTTGAAACACCAGGAGAACTCGATCTGCAGCGAACTGAGACTCATCCACAAGAAATATATTTCTCAGGTATGACGAAGAGTTTCCAATCCATCTGTAATTCACGTCGTTATCCCCATGAAGAGGATCATTGGCTCCATTTGCTCCATAGGCCTGGTACGTGTCTCCAGGGACCTTCAGGGTGAAGTACTTATTCCCCACCACTCCTTGCCAAATATCTAGGGTATCTGCTCGAGTGCTCAGCACAATGCTCAGAATAATTGCTAGACTGAGTCTCATTGCGACTCGTAAGTGCTATCAGATAATTGAATTGAAGTGGTAAAACGAAGTCAGTTGGGTTGCAAGTGTTTTTTGGGCATTCCTCGGAAACCGAGGGAGATAGCGAGATTCTCGTAATAACCTTTTTTCCAGAGCTCAGGTAGCTCTACATAAAAGTTGATTATGAAAATTTCAATATCTCTCTTGGTTTTCGAGATATTTTAGGAAAATTCAGGGGATAGTTATTTGGCAATTTTCAGGAGTTTATTTTGTTGAAATGGTAGTTTGGATTCGCTAGAGCCTAATTCTAACTGAAGCCGATGTTGCGGTGATTCTCCTTATATCAGTTTCCCCCACTTCACCACGGACGGATAAGTAATCTGACCCTGACGACTTTGAATTGATAACTTCGAATGACTTGACAACAGGAGAAGCTGTCAGTCGATGGACTCTTAAGAATTACTTCTTAAAATTGCCGCCGGCTGGGTCGCTCCACGTTTTATTGTTATCAGATTAAATCATTAGATATCAACAATGGAATAAATAAACAAAATGAAAGTTGAGGTAATTCTAACAAATGAAAATCGAAAATAATCACAACCTCTCAACTTTATTAAAACCCAAATAACGCAATCTGTTATTCAGCCAAAATGTGGAATCAACGGATATCCATTCAATATTTTTTGCTAGAATGCTTTTTCCCTGTTGGATAAACAATAGTTGCGTACAAAAAGTAAACAAAATAAAAAGTATTTGTATGGACAATGACTCGGCTATAGTACTAGAAGTTTGAAAAACTATAAATTCGTCCACCACTGAACATTTTAATGTTTCTAAGGCATCAAGGTGTTGCTTCAATCTACCAACCACTGTACTCTTCACTCATGACCTTTCAAATGTACTCTCACGTTTTACCATTAAATTTTCAAATGCTGTTGTCACGCTAGACTTTGCAAGAGCTTTGGGATCCATTCAATTCAACAGTACGTGAAGGAAGACTCGAATTTTTTGTCTGTACCCCAGGATCTTCATCCCTTCAGAATTTTCCTCCTCTTGCGATTATTTCCACCCTTTGGCGATGCTTTCCTCGTTCGCGTTTGTGCATTATAATCAATCTCAGGGTTGTGAATTTCACTGAGAGGTTTGAAAGATCGAATGGGAGAGTCTGGGACCTCAATGGGAACAGTTTTACTTCCACCTGGGACCTCTTGATTGCGTAAACATTTCACAGTGTGTTCATCGAATTCGTGTCCATCCCTTGTCTGGAATTTGCCACACCTCATGCACTCCAAGAGATTGGAGAATCTCCCTCTTCCTGGAGGATGATTCCCCTTGACCTCTTCGACATCGACTACATCTCCTCCATCCCCAAAGGAATCTGCACAGCTGTCAGCGTGAATCTCGATGGCTCGTCCCTGAGGAAAGTACTTCTGACACATAGGGCACTGCACTTCCCGTGCCTCCTGGTTATCCTCATCGCCCTCTGGGAACATGCTGACCTCGTCAGCGGTCGGTGTCGCTCGATTGTTCGAGTCCCATTCGAGAATTTCTACATTTTTCTTGGCAGAGTCTCCTTCGAGTTCAACTCTTCGACCCATATTTACGACCATCCCAAATTTGTACCTGAACATCATATTAAGGTCATCATAAATTATTTATACAATAATTTTGCAGAAATTTAAAGAATTTTATGAGGATAAACAGATTAATTTCACTCCAATTCAGATAAAAATTAATTGTGAATTAAATTGTACCTTTCTCTTCTCTCTTTTTCTAATGTGGCCTCTTCCTGCTTGACCTTTATCAGGGCATTGTTCTCCCTGATTCTTTTTCTGATCCTCTCCTGTTTCTCCCTGTCCTCCTGTTCCGCCCTGGCCCTCTCCATCTCTACCCTCCTCCTCTCCTCAGTCATATCCTCCTGCCTGGCCCTTTCCAGAAGTGCCAGGGCAGCCTCCGACCTCTTACTAGTCTTCTGGGGGACGATCGGTGCGTCATCCTCGTCGTCAGTCATTACAGAGGACTCGATCTCCTCCTCAGTTAGAGACTCTGGTTTCTTCCTGGGGATCTTCTCCACAGTGAGTTGTGGTCTGCTCCCCAGGAGTCGGGGGATTGAGAGTAACTTTTTTCCTTTGGGACCTCGAGGACGAGATGGATTGGGGGGAGTTATTCGTCTGGGGTACACGTCAACCGCCTCTGAGTTCTTTGGGGGAGGAGATGCTGTTTTTGATAACTCAGCAGGAATTTCCTGGGGCTCGAACTCCTGTAAAGCCTCGCGGGTGGATCTCGAGACCTCTGGGGTGGCTAGTCCTCGGTTTTTCACGGTTCGCTTCTTCGAGGGAACGACTCGAGGCCTTTCCTCCCAATTCGGGCCCTTTTCTTCACTTTTTGAAAGCTCTTGTGGTGGAGAAATGTTCGCTTTGAAAAGTGCACGTTCACGACGACCTGCGAGACTTGACACTGGACCCAGCAGACCAGAGGTCGAGGATTTTGGCCGCTTGCGTGTCCTCTCGAAGTCGTCTGAGTCGTCGTCAGATTGATTGAATGCAAAGACATCTGACTTCTTCGGGGATATATCCCGGGAACGCAGCCCTGGACGGAACTCTTGAATCTCTCGCTCTGACCTGAAGTCCTTGTCCGGAGATTCTTTGAAGAGACCTGTTGTCACCTGGGGAGAAGTCGCAGGATGAGAGATAAAAGGATTCCTCAATTCAATGTTTGTTAATGAAATGGGATTTGAAATTTCTCATGATGTTGACTAAATAACAATAATTATTAATAATTCAACAATTTCAATATTGTAAAATGATTATATTTTATTAATTGATGAATACCTATTGTCATATGAAGTCAATAATTTTAAGCATTTGACTTTAAAAAGAAATTGCTGGTTTATAAATAATTATGAATAAGAAAAACATTTTAAATATCAAGAGAATTTGTTTGAAAATGACACCCAGAGCCCAAAAAATATCCACTAAAAGTCAAACCATCTCTCCCCACTTCACAAACTTCTACTGAATAACTCTAAATTACCAACACTCATTTTGTTAGTTAAAAACTTTATTATTGAATATTGCAAATACAAGAATCACGAGACTAATTGGCATAACCCTAATTACCATATACCCACCCAAAATGTAATTAGAAAAATTGTGAAACCCTCGTAGAAAGGGGAATTGGTCCAACTTCATTGGATAATAGTACTTAATTACTTCATCAATGAAAAAAAGGGTAATTAAATTGGCATCATTGGAAGATATCAGTGGTATCAACGATTGTATCGGGAGTTATTTATTTGCTCGGAGGAACCCACCTTGATGGGTGACCCCCACTCGAACTCGATACTGTAGTTGTACTTGTGATTCTCGTAGTGAGACTTGTGGCACTCCAGCAGACTCATGTCTATGAATCTCCGGATGGTCTCGGGTATCTGAGGGACTCTATTCTCCACGGGAAAGCCCACGGGAGGCCTTGAGCTTTGGTTTCTCTGGAGATTCTTCAAGGGAACGTCCACAGTTTTGCAGTCCAGAGGATCGATCTTCCAGATCTCGATTTTCGACAGCGGCAGCTTCCGAGTATTCTGGATTTTTTTCGGGATATTTGTTGTGCTCTGAAGGGGTGGGACTGCCGCTGGGGCTGTGCTTAGGGTCCCCAACCTAGGGGGACTGGGGGACAGTATGTGAAGTGCACCAATAGTTGGACTCATTCTCGTGCACTCTGGGGAATCGTCCAAATCCTCTTCCTCTGGCTTTTTCGTCGTGGGTCGTACGCGGGTTGAGAAATATGCTGATGTTAGCTCTGGGGAGGATGAGTCTCGACTCGATCTCGCTGGCTTTTGGGACGGGGGCTCTGCTGGTGGAGTTGATATCATTTCCTGGAAGATTGTTTGAGACTTCACATCGCAATTCATTGATTATTCTTTCATTTTTTCCCTCGCAATCGTAATTTTCAGACGGCATTACATAATCAAACAGTAGTCATTCATTATTTTTAAATAGAATTGCTCGACAGACGGTTGTGTTGTTTCAAATTTGTGCAAGAACAGAAGAATGTAAAAGAATTTGTTCCTCTTGCAGAGGAATTACAAAAAAAAATCCTGGAGTGATAACTTTTTTACTTACCGTGGCCATCGAATTTTCACGACTCATATCGCCAGGATTCTTCATGGAGTCTTTCACTGCTGTTAACATGTGATACATCTCTTTCATAGTCATCCCACCCTCGTATAAATTCAACGCTGTGGAAATAATAATGATTATGAGCACCCAACGTTCTGGGAATTGTTTAATGTAAATAGAAAATTGATAATTTTCACCAGAGAGCTCTCGTTTCATCTCTTCAGCTCGACTCTCCTCTGAGGCACGCGTCTTCGCGCCGATCTGTTCAAAATGAAAATATTTTCGTTATAAAAAAATGTTCTTAAAAATTCATAGGTACAGGAAAAGGAACAGCTCCCTCATTTTTGGAAAAAGTGTTTGATTTATAAAAAACGGTTTATTATAAAGATGAAGATGAATAAATGAATGTGAAATTAATTGATTAGATTTGTAATCAAATGACAATTTTCCGAAATTCTTCAATTAATTAATGAATTTTTAATAGCAGTCGTCGTTTTGGGGAATTGATTATTTAATTAAACAAAAATTTGACAAAAATATGAGTTTCAATAACACTGGGGGAAAATATCATTTCTGCCATGTAAATATAATAGACAATTAAATTCCAAGAAACTGCATAAAATGCTCAATTAAATTCGCATCACAAACAAATGCGTTTAGCATTAGTCAATTTCATTGAGAAAAATAATTATTCTGTCAATGCAACAGCAGCGATAACCTAAATTCCATAGATGTCAAGTTAACCTTTGGTTTGTCCAGTTAAATAATGAGTAATTCCTTGCTAAATTGCGATGAAAAATAAATATTGAAGAGCCTAAAACGAGGAGATAATACTCACTCTTCCCGCGTAGTCCATCTCGTGTTTTTTAATAAAAATAGATAAAAATAAACAATACAACGTCGATTAAACGTTGTATCGGTTGTTTATAAGTGCACTTGTTGTGATATTGTGTTATCTGGCTTTTGTTGATTTTAATGGGCAGATTTGGTGACAAGAGATATGCAGCAACGAACAACTGACAAACAAAATGCAAGAGGGCGAGACTATTGTTTTATCCTTTGCTAGTGGAATAAAGACAACTCACCATTGGTGGAGCGCTGGATTTCATTGTAGAATTGTTGCCTCCCATTGGTCAAAATTTTCGTTGAGTCTTCGCTGGATTAGAGGACGGGGAGGTCGTTTGAAATTGTAAATAAACATTCGGAGGAATACCGGTGAAATAATTTGAGGTGATCAGAGAGTATTCCACAAATATACGGAGAAAATTAGATAACAATAATTTATGAATGAACAAACCTTAATCCTGACGTCAGCCAACCCAGAAAATCCTAAAATAATCCCTCATTCCCTCAATCATACACATGTAAAATCAAAATTTAATTGAACAACAGATAATTAAGACCAATTGTTCTTAACATTGTAATTAATTGATAATAGTTTTTACCTGAGTACTTGTAAATGCAAGTAAATGCATGTGAATGAAAATGATAATTTATTTAGTTTTTTGTTTTTTCGAGGGATCTCAGAGTCGAAGAAGAAATCAGTGAAAAATGTCGAGGTCTCAGGATTGAAGGAGAGTCTCTCACTAATTCGAGATTTTTCAGAGGATTTTTTATCGAACTTATCCACGTACGAGGAACAAACACTGCACACGGGGATTAATTGTGAAAAATCGTGGACTGATGTTCACTGATGTGACACTGAAGATTATGGTTACTTTATCGATAAGTTGGATGTCGGTAATCGATAATCCTGTTGTGTCCTAGACGGTAGGGGATATTTCAATTAATATAAAAAATATAAAATATAAACTTGAAATACTATTCAAGAAATAAAAAAATAAAATTCTCTTCAAATTTGTCTTTCAACACAGCAATTGTAGATAAAAAATTCATTTTATATTGACATTTGCTCATAATAATTTATTTCTCGCCTTCCCCAGGATACAATTAATCCTGGACACCTCAATAATCGAACAATAAATGAGAAAAATATATTATAATCCCCCAGGACAATTAATCCATTCAATTATCAATTAACCTGTTAAATCGATAAGTGGTATTTCCAAATATTAAGTACAATGTTACGATTTTTTTCCATTGCTCTCATTAAATAACATCTCTCGTGTGCCTGATATTTTTAATACTTAAAGACACGCTGACATTAATTAATAATTCCACTTTGATCGAAGCGCATCGTGCGGTTAAAATCCATTCGTTCATGTTAAAAAAAAAGAAAAATGAATTTCACTCGATTTTTTTTCTCTCGTTAATTTTTCTCTTCGCCCCGGTGTGGCCCTCACTTATCGTACAGTGACTTATGTACATTACATACAATATATTTTCTCTCTCGAACTCTCACTCGTCATCTAGTCGGCTAATTAGTGAAAAAATAATGCTGCTTTGGCCATGATTAACACTTATTTCTCTCATCCTGTTTCTTTTTTCAGTTTTAAATGTAATTATGTCCACCTAATTAATTCAATCATCCGGTTAATGCCTAAGTATCGATAAAGTCTAGTCTCCAAGTGATAAAAATTCAACTGACCTCAATTACTTCATTGAAACACGTAAAAATTACGGTTTTACAGTGCTACGTCAATTCCCATTGAGAAAAACTCATTAAGGAATGTTTCATGCTCTATTTTTGGTTCAACTGAAGTTCATTCTCTTGAAAGTACCTCTGAAAGTAATTAGTTTATCAGAAAATCGTCCATTCATCAACTGATATTATAAAATATCATATTCTCGATACGTTTTCCCATAAATTCCATCGAACAAAAACTCGAATTTTCATGATTTTCTTTTGAAATCTAAAACATTAGAAATAATATTCAATTTTCATTGTTGGAACTTTGTAATTGTCTCGCGAATAGCTCTCAACTCGAAAAATCCCTCATTGTTTCAAGACGATAATTCACTTGGTGTCATAATAAATTATTCGAAACGAACAGATGTCAACAAATCTGTAAATAGTGATAGAAAAAGATAAAACTGAATTAAACCTAAGGGACGGAAAACAGAAAACGCCGATGTACAGAGAATAATTGAGATTTCATTTGTATCTCGGACTGTCTGGTGGCGTCGACTGTTGAGTACTGCTGCTTCGGTGTTTTGGGCCCGTTTTGAAAGACATCTTCTTCAAGGGCCGAGGGGATATACCGTGAAGTGCTGGACTATCCTGAGTGTCTGCACTGAACCAAACTCTGCTCCCATCAGAGGCTGAACGAAAAAATTATTATCATTTCAATCCTGCCCATCAAGAGAAAATTACTATGAGTTTCAACAATCACAGATTATTAAAATTTAGATCAACTCCATCGTCCGTTTATCCAATTTCTGAGATGCAGATGATTTTTTTAATGAGTAATTTGTGAATTAGCAGAACTTGAAAGGATAAGGAGATGACTTTAATAATCAGCTGCTCGACTCATAATAGTCTTCTTTTAAACGATGAAGAAGCTTCCAGTAGTTTGATGATTTGAAATTGTAGAGATTGAAGATGGGGAGGCTGAGAACATGAGAGAGACTGAAGTTGCTGAAAGCATTTCGTAAAGAAGAGGCAAAATGATTCAAGTTGAAATGACAAGGGAACGTGAGGCAAACTTGATACTTCAGATATTTTATTGGATATTTGATTAAATTTGTGAAAAAATGTCTGGAGTATTAGTTTTTTTCTGCGGCGTCCGATCTGAATAATTATTGAATTATCTTCAATAATTATAATAGTTATAATTACTGAGGGATAATTATTAATCATTCGATTGTCTTACAGGTCGAATCGGAGTTGCTCTTCGATCTGCTTTGAATAATAATATATTGATTTCTAATTGGTACTAACTTGTTGGACCTTTAACAGGGTGGATGGGGATTAGTGGTCTGAATTAGTCACCTCTGTTCGTGCGATTATCTACACCACTCGAGGCTGAATTATTTCGAAGACTGGGACGACCGTGATGAGAGTCCAGAAGGGCTGCAGCTAGATTCGATGATGCTGTTGACTGAACACTTGCAATCGACCCTGAAAATATCCAGGAAAATTTCCATCGAATTGATCTATAAATTTAATTAATCTAGTTGCACTGAGATTTAAATACAGGTCAATTTGAAATGCCCAATTTTTCTGCAATTTTACATTTCTAATTTGAGATTCAATTGCTGAGATAAATTAGAGTGAAACTCAATCGTGGACTAAATGAATCATATTGGAAAGAGAAATACCAGTGACGGATGATCCTCCACTGAATGGACTGATGGGTTGAACAGGTGCGTAAACATTGGCAGCGAATTCCTCGAATGTAGTTGACTCCTTGTGATTTCTCATTACTGTATCAATGGAACGATTCCTTTCTTCGTAGCTAATAGAGAAAATTAAAGAATATGTAATTGTAGTTGAACCGCATTGTAATGAGTATTAAATAAAAAGAGAGCGACACGAACAAAAAAATGTTAGAATGAAGAAAAAAAATTAAATTTTAAACTCACTAATGCTGATACAACGACAGAGTAGACCTCTTCGCTCTACTGGCAGCGAGTGCAGTCGCCCTGACGAGTCCAGGGAGGACACAATCTTCGACAATGCTCTCATCAAAGAGTGGCCCGAAGAACGGAATCTCCTGCTTCCTGGCGATCTGCACCCTGTACAATTTATTCGGCAGAGGATAAATAACAATCAACACATCACAGAACTCAGTAGGAATGATATCCCTCCGGTAATCCCTCCAGTGCTCCGACCACACGACGTGAACCTCGTCATTCCCCAGATGTCTAGTTTTCTGCAGAAGGCTCTCAGGGCTATCAGAGGGCATCCTCGTGGCCACATGGAACAGGATCTCCACGAAGGAAGTGGCAAAATATGGGGCAGTGGTTCCACTGGCCTTTCCAGGAACTAGACCCCCCATAAACCCAGTGTGACTTTCCAGTTCCACCTCCCAGGCGAGTCTAGCGACGAAAGATTCGTACTCCTTGCTCCCATTGACATTCCCCAGGATAGAGTTCTTGTCCTCCTGCCCCTGTCCCACATAGATAACAGCCATTTTGTGGGTTTCCCTGGACCTCTGGCCATCGAGATTCCTGAGTTCCCTCAGCAACTTCTCGTTCTTCGACAGCAGGTGCAATCTCCTCCGTTGCTCCCATCCTGACAGACCCAGATGAGAGAATAGGAGTCTGCAATGATGGAAAGGGGCTGGAGGTGGTCTCGAAGGTGGTGGAACAGCTGGAGTTGCCCTCATGCTGACGTGATGACTCCAGTTGTTGACGTACTCCCTGGAGGTGTTTCTCTGATTGATAATTGCTGTTATGGTTTCGTGCTCCATGCAGTTGACTGGAGGAGCATTAGCTGGGGCATTGAGAGGGAGCTCTGGGTTGGTGAGAACCTCTGGGGAGGTGTGGCCGATGTAATTGAGGAGGTCATCGAGATTGTCCATGTCACTGGCAGCATTGGCGAACGTTGGGAGGATCGTGGGTTCTCTGGGCCTTGTCAAATGCCTCGGGGGATGGCTCACGCGATTAAGGGAGTCGTTGTCCTCCTGAAGGTCCAGGGAAGTCGTTGTGGCTCTCACATCTTTCTGATCCCTGTCCTCTCTCTCCTCCTGCTGACGATAGAGGATTGAGCAGTCCCAGGCTGCTTTTCCAGCCAGATCTCGAAGCAGCACTCGAACTATCGAGGGAGCTGTAACCAGACCCTCTGTTGGCTCCAGTGCCTGCAACTCCACTAACGACATTATAATGGAATTTGAGAGCATCAAGAGTTGGATGTTTGGAGCGTGAAATATCGCTGATGATAATTCGTCACCGTCTATTCCTGGAACATCGTCTAGTTCTACTACTGTCGAGGAGAGACGAGCCGCTCCTATTCCCATGGGAAAATGACCCAGGTGATTCACAAGGTGCATTGTTACCATTTTCGCTGCTAATTGCACACTCTGGGCGTTGGAGGATCGTGGAGAGTTATTGGTTTCCTTTCCCAAGTCGTCAATCGTGATGTCCTGGTCGAAGTCCTCCTGATCGTCACTCTGGTGGCGAGAGTGACGTGACAGGTCATGGATCAACTTGTCGGATTTATTCTGCATTATATTGTCGAGCACTGTGAAGATCGTCAGGAGGAGAGGTTTACCCTGGAATGTTGTAGAGAGAACTTTGGGGCCGAGATGCATCGCCCATTCACCCAAGCAGAAGAGCATTGACGTTGTCAGGGCACTCCGACGCTCACGGACTGTCATCGTGTCCAGGGTTTCAGAGAGAATCTGAATTATTTTGTATGGAACCCTTGGACAGACCTCCAATAAAACGTCTGCTTTGTCACACAGAAGAATCAGTGAATCACAGGCGACCTGAGCCACTGAGGGATGAGTTGCCTAGAAAAACCCCAAGGTATCACGATAATGATTTCAGGGATTAATGAATGACATGGACAATCTGTATTAATGGAAGAAGCATTAAACACCAGGGAGCACCAAGAACAACGACAGAAGCAGCATGATGCAACAATTGGAAATGAACATCACAATTTTGGTGCTAGAGGTGAGACTACCTTGTACGGGAATAGTGCATGGAACCGGTCCCGTCGCCTTCCAGCCCTGTGTGCCCTCTGCCAAGCCAAGCAAATGAGTGGTACTTATCCCCAAATTATTGTACGAACTACTCTACGAAGGGCCAAAGCTTACGAGTCATTCAATTACTAGATATTCTTAATTTAGATGAAGAAATACAGAGTACATAATCCATCATTTTAAATGGATTCAGGGACTACATTTATTATTAGCCAAGAATTTTTGCTATGAAGAGGCGAATGAATAAAGAAAATTTTTTTTAAGTAGAACGTAGAGAACTCTATATTACAGTGATAAAACCCAGTGCACTCCAATGCATAATTGAAAATAGAAGAAGGATGAAATTAATCAAGTGCTGGAGCATTCTCATTACAGTAGACTCTCGTTGCGCTACGTACTCGCTGCGACTATAAAATTATGTTTTTTTCATAGAAAATTTGCATAGGAGAGAAATTCATTTTTTATTTTTCATGGAATTCAATCCCTTCCCGAAACAACGGATTTTTTACATCTTGCAGCTCCGGAGAGTAGTGTAGGGGAACCGAAAGATACGCAAAAAAAATTGAGGAGACATGCGACTAGAATGAGATTCTACTGTAATTCATATTTTCCTATTCCACTTCAACAATCAATTTCGATCATAATTAAATTGGATGACTGAAGAATAATATGGGAATATTTGAATATCAAAAAGGATATGAAAGAATAGAAAATACCACAAACCAATCGAGAAATTGAGCAACGTTGACCTAAAAACCGTTCATATCTACATTTTTATCATTCGAAAAACGTAATTAGCCTCAAAAATTAATTATTAAAATAAAAATTATTTTTGCACTTGGTACGAATAATAAACCCAATAGAGAGAATAATAAAGAAGGCTTTAAGAAAACACAAAAGAATATATAATAAATCAATCCGATCCCCAAAACGAAGGATAAAATTTTGGGAACTCACCCTGAGAGCCTGAAGCAGAACAGTGACAGCCTCAGGTACTTTTGGGTGTTGTGTCTTGTGGCAGAGTTCTCCATAAGCGAACATCGCGATGCTGGAGAGTGCAATACACCTGGCAACACCAGTTGGTTCCCTCCTGCAGCTCCTCATGAGAATATTGAGGGTCAATTCCTTGGCATCAGGGCACATGATGGTCTCGATCTCATTGGAGTTAGGTTGAAAGACAGGAAATTTACCCCCAGATATCGGCAGAGACAGCAGTGATCCCAGAATTGATACAGCCTCTGTCCTCGGTGCCTCGATATCCTGACTCCCCAGGATACTGTTGGCAGCGTGGATATAATCCAGGATCAACAGACTAGATCCTGGCAGTTTGAGACTGAAGAATCGAGGGCCAGTGTATTTTATGAGGGCATGAATGACTTTGGTGTCGTTACTGGTGATTCCGTTATGGACAGCTCGATAGAAGAGAGTTAAATGGGCCTTGGGGAGATTTATGTCGAGAGGTTGAACTGTCAAGAGACAAATTAGACGATAGGCTGCGAGTTTTCCCACTTCGTAGCGAGGGGGCAGTTGAATTGCCTTGAAACACCAGGGGGCTATCACTGTTAAGGGTGGAATCAACTCTGGGGCTGGAGGTGTTGCCTGGTTGTCCCCTGAGACACCCTGATTCATTCGAATTTTTATCAGGGTCTGTGTCAACTGCACCAGGTACTCCATCACTTGACCGTGGAGCACTGGGTCCTCAATGTTGTTCACGTCACCCAGGGCTGACAGCATTCGCCTCCACAGGACCACTGCCACATCTGGCAGCCAACCTCGAACGTTTCCACCTGCCATCACTGAACGCCTTTCTGATGCATCACTTGTGTCTGCAAAAATTCATCGCGTCAGGGAGATATTTTCGTTTAGAACCAGAATTTATAAAATTTTTTAAATTAGAACAATGCCTGCCTCATAAAAAAAAATTATCCTCAAATAGAGAAATGTTTATTTATTCATAAACTTATTGGGAACGTTTCCTGTGATAATTATTTTTATAATTCAATAATTTCAAAGATATCCAATAAAATCCACTAAACATGGAAGATATACCTGAAGAACTGGAATAGTCACAAATAAAAGAACTCAACAACTCAAAAAAGAAAATTCGAAAATTTGAATGAAAAAATCAGAAAGATTAATAATTAATCAGTCTTTAATAGCATCGAGATATTTTACTTGAGCAATGAAACTGACTTGGCAGAAGTAATTTATCTCCTCAGTGTATGGAAGAACCCGTTGGTTTCTCAGAGAATACTCACGAAAACTAGTTAGTAATAACTCGTCAGAAGCAACTAAGACAGCACTCGATACGAAGCACAAGCAATTCATAATGACAATCAAACGATAAACGGAAACGAGGACTCACAGAACGATGTAAAAATAAATAGAACCTTCTCTCTGGATTAATGGAGTGTTATTCGTAACATACCAATGCTGCTTCCATCAATATTCTCGATCTGAATGGGACTGTCCTTGTTGGAGTCAACACCACTGCTCGGTGTTGGTGATGGACAGCGAGGGGTTGCAGGTTCACTGTCAGGAACAACGACACTGTCCAATGACTTGGCACGTCTCCCAGTGAGAGTTCTCCTCCTTCCAGCTGTCGTTGTACTCGTGACACTGTTGTTCACCAGTTTGGCCATATCTCTTTCAATCGAGATGGGAAGTGCTGCACGCGATGAAATGGATTGATACATGAGAGTGAATGACACCGAGGATTCACTCGGTATGAACGAGTCATTAGTTCCTGACGATGTGGGGCAGAATGGACATTTTATTAATTTATCCAGACAATAAGACTTGGAAAAATTCAATCCCATCTCGACAATTACAGATCATCCATTCTACCCCAGATTTTAAATCTCAGGTACTGATTGTTAAATGGCTCCAATCGAGTGAAATCAATGACTAATTAATCAGGAATATTTACATAATTAGTACGTGAATTGATTTGGTAATCAAATATCTCGAATTGATCGAGATATTCAAGCAAGACCACAACAGCGAAAGGGCTATTTATATCGTCAGTGTCGCAGAATTGTGCAGCAGAAAAAAAAATTCAGTCAAACGGACAAATAGTGTATAAATAAACCTGGCGATGGTCTTAATGAGTTTAACAGTTTTTATTATATGGGGAATGGGTTGTTGTTTTTGCTAATGAGAATCGAGTTAAATTTTCATCGGCTGCTAATGGATTAGTGATTACTCAAGGTACTGAGTGATTTACCTGGGATCTCGAAGTGAGTGACTTGTGCTCGAGTTTTTTGAAGTTTTGTACGATTCTTCAGGCTATAGATGTTGTTGTCACTCACGCTGCGTGGCAGTGGTCGGTGCTTTCGGAACTCTCGAGACGGATGGTCTGTAAATAATTTTTTATTAATGGGACAGTCTGAATTTTTTTTTAAACTCTTTCTTCTTCACAAAGATCGTATAAAAATTAAATAATATATAATAAAGAGCTCTCGTCACCTGGCACATGTTCCTTGATGGTACTGGTCTCCCTGTCGATGCTGCCCCTCCTGGGGCTTTGAACATTACTCGCCGAAGCAGTCCTGCATCCCACACCTCTTCTTTTCTTGCTCTTCTGTTCACTGAGTCGGTCTAGGGGTAAATCATTAAGGTCCAGGCCATAAACATGTCTTGCCAATACCCTCGTCAGAGTATCCAGAGTTTTGGCCCATTCCCTGATGAGCTCCTCCCACTGGGTGAGACTAGTCAGCACCTCGAGGAACTCGTCCCAGAGTTGTGTAAGAATAACTACATTAAGATTGGCCTTGATCCAGGTGACGATCAGAGTCTGAAAGATAGCAGGAGCTAATTTTCCTCCAATACTCTCATGTTGTTTTCGCCTGGAGGATTTATCCCCAAGGACTAGTGACGTAATTTGCAGAAGAACCCTCAGCAGCTGATCCCAAGTGCTCGGTTCTAATCTGGCGTGCATCACCACGTACCTGAAATTATGAAAAAATTATTATTCAAGAGATATTAGCACTCAGTAATTAATAGTAATTCAACTGATAGTATTTAGATTCGGCTTTAATTAGAGATATCATTTAATTTTTCGAGTGATTCACCTATAGACATTGAGGACTCTCTTGCAGCTGTCAATCTGCTCCTCCAGGAGAGCAGCACTTGCCAGACCCCCAGAGTTCTCCAGAAAAAAAACATTGGACGCCTGAGTGATAAAAATTTGAAGTACACTCTGCAATCCGGCCCGGACGAAGAGATTCTCCCTGTGGATGGCTCCCAGGTACGAATCATTTCTCAGCCTCCCCTGTCTCCAGCTGTCAGAAGGACTCTTGTCACTCTTATCATTCTCCTCCCTCCTCACGAGCTCCTCTTCCTTATCCTTGTGACTCTCCAGGGGCTCCAGCATAAAGGGAGGAATCTCATTCATCTGCACCCAGTCCTTGTAGACAGCAATGGCCTTTCGAATGGCCCCCGCGTGAGTGAAGTCCAAGAGAAAAGCCTGTCGATAAATTTCATGAACAAAATTCACATTGTCTCTGCTTGCATAGAGCACCTCTCGAACTAGAAGAACAGCCGCTTGGCCATCGTCAGGCTGTGAGTCCTGAATATCTGGAGATAATGAATTGGAGTCGACACTTTGATTTATCGAAATCCTTTTGGACTCGTCGTGTTCCTCGTTGGGTGTTGTTTGAGGGTTGATAAAGGTGTCCTTCTTGGTGACGTGGGTGAAGCTCGCTAGCCACTTTATGAGGGCCACTTTGCAGAGGGTATAATTACTCTGAGAATTTGGCGACTGCTGTCTCATTGTTGGCAACTCCAGGGAGGGTTTGTACAAAGAAAATGTGTCATCGAATTCTGGACAGATATATCTCAGATAAGTCGCTTTGAATCGTTCCAAGAGAAATTGAAAACACTTGTGCTGACGTGGATGCTTGTCCCTCCACTCAACCTTCACTACCTGGGTAACCATGAACTCTAAAAGGGCCTCGAAGAAACGGAGGGTCTCGTTGTCCAGGGGTTTTTCACCACTCTGGACAGGTAACAATGGGGTACCGTTGGGCTGAGTCACTGGCCCCTGCTGGGAATTATTGCAGTGGAAGATCGAGGTGACGTGCTGAGTGTCGAAGAACTCTCGTTTCTCCTTTTCCTCCTGGTTTGGCGGATTCGGGGGCTTGCGACGCTCAGGGCGACTCGAGGCTGGTGCTGGAGGAAAACCTGGGACCAGGGAGGCGAACATCTGGTGAATGTGCTCTGGTGCATTCTCACCCAGGGCTTGGTACCACAGGATGAAGTAGCGCAGAGCCTGGCGACGCAGCTTCCAGCTGTTTCCCGGGTGAAGTAGCTTGTGGAGGATTCGAGCTAGGCTGTGGCATTGCCATCGACGGTTCAATAATTCGGGGAGGAGTGTCAGCACCTTCTCCAGCAGCTGGAGAACCTGTTCGAGCTCCTCACGGTGCGCTTTGTGCACTGGAAAAGGGGTTACTGTGTTTCTCTCTCCATTATTTTAAAAAATTACTCTACTAGGAAATTACTTCAATAAAAATCAAATTTTCAACACCCAAAATATAAAAAATAAAATCGAAAGTCATAACAATGGAAAATTAGTGATGATGAAAACATTTTACAAAACAAATTGAGTAACAATAATCAATACAATAATTTTTCTCTTGAAGTGAAAATTTTTGGCGTGGCAGAAGGTCATGCATTATGTAATACTGACTAAAACCATTTTAGATGAAAAAAAATCCTCTAATTACTCGTTTACACATTCGAGCAAATTGACTTACCGAGATGGAAGGATAGTTCTGGTATCGACAGCACGAAAATGGGTAAGTAATAATAATAATCTGTTAGTTTTTTCATTCTATCGAGAAAATACAATAAAAAATTGAATTACCTCTCTGTCGAAGATTGGCCTCCGCAGTAACGAAGCAGTCATACAGGATAAAGTAAACATGACTGAAGTTGCCCTCGAAGAAGCCCTTGGCCTCGTCCGTGTCGACATTTTCTGAAAAACCCACGAAATCCTAACAATTTCCGAGGTAAATCGACACACATAACAGTCGAGCTATTATTTGTGTGATACGAGACTCCAGACTCGCCATGTGGTTTCAGATAAGACTTATCATCACCACAATTATTCTGATTGCACTCCATGCAAAGCAGCAAAAATTCCTTTTAAACAAAAATCTCAAAACGTTTCAACTACTGGAAAACCTCAATTTATCCTTCCAAACGGAGACATCCAACTAATTTAATTATTCTCTAATAATTTTTCAAAAGAAAAATCGAGGTGCAATTTAATTTAAGAATTCCTCTGCATGTTCCATGTTATGAATATTCATGCCCCAGAATTTCCATCATTAAAAGAAAACGAGTGTTTCCGAGAAGTGAAATTGTTCAACACGGAGAACCTGTCGACTAATCCTCAAAAAATGTGCATAAAATGTGCGTAGGATGACAGGCAACACCTCCACTCCCATTTGACACAATAAATGAATAGTCCCAAGGTAAAACAAACTATTGGCAAACGAACAATAACTCGGTTGTTTGGACAAGTGAATTGACAGGTTGACAGGTGCCCCTGGGGGCGTCAAGGGCCACGACAATCCAATTCTCTGGAATCAGCTGTGAACTCACCTAGGACGATCTTCAGATGCTTGAATCTCGTTGCACTGTCCTTCTTGACATCCTGGATTTTCAGCGTCGACTTCTTCACGTCTACATGAAGTTTCTTGCTGAACATTGTGATGATTTAGTGCGCGCCGCCGGCGGCTCCGATGACATCCAAATTCATCGAGCCCGCGCCAGTCATTCCTCATGTGGCACTCAAACCCTTTGACAACTTCTTCTGGGGATTAGGGAGACATTTACGCTGATGGGAAATGAATGATGATTTAACCACTGAAAAAATCCCGTTACAGTCACCATTGGGTTGTGTGTTAGAATGAGAGGGGGACTCACACCTCCCGATCAGATGTACGTGACAGACGCCATCTTGGAGGTCTGAGTTTGTGTGGATTTTTTTTATTTTCTGGAGGGATTATTCGTCGTTTTGACTCCTTCGGGTCTTCAGGGGATTCTGCAGATTCTCCTGGGGCTGAAGAAAAAATGGGGCCCAGGGGTGGATTAGTTTTAATCTACGACAATTCAGACTTGTCTATTTCCAGGGGTTCTTCTCTGTTTTTGAATTTTTTTTGTTTACGTGGATATGCTCTACTGCTGGTAATGGAGGAATGGGTCCTATGGATTTGGAAGACAATTTATTGTCAATTAATTCTTTGATTATTAATGCACTTTTGAGTTGACTTTGAGGGAAATGTAGGGATTAAAATCCAAATTTGGAGATATTTTTCGTCAGTCATTACTTCTTCTAAATGAGTCATTGAAATTTTTTATGTTCTCAGGAACTTCATTTTTTTTTTAAATAATTGATTTTTGAGTTCTGGTCATTCTGGTTGTCAATCAATTTCAAAAGACATTTTTATTTCAACTTCCAAGTGAATTCGTCTTCTGAAAATTTCAGCAAAACCCATTCCTGAATAAATTTGAAATTCCACGAAGAGTCAAACTCGAAATAAATGGGTAGAAACCCCATGGGATTTTACCTTGAAAAAAAAAAGAAATGAAATGATTGAAAAAATATGACCTCTGGTATATACGAAATATTTATATTTACGAAATTAGTCTTTCTATACAATTTTCTCAATTTCCTTCACGCTTTCACGAGGATTCATTGAATGTGTAAATTATTTGATCTATTAGAGCCTGAGTGAACTTGCCTTATCCATTTTCTACATTCTACTATTTTTGCTTCGAGTCAAGTAAAAAAACCCCCCGAAAATAATCACTTTTTCCCCATTAAATAAATATAAATTCAAGTCAGTGGCACGTGTACTGTCCTACGCGCCTAAACGATTACAAAAAAAAAAGAATTACAGAATTAAAAAATGTATATGTACACAGGAGTCTAATGTACATCGAGCTGATCACCATTTTCCCCAGTGAATTTGTTAAAAAATTTTCTGTCACTCCGAGATATTTAAGGCACACCTCACGCTCTGTATTTTTCAATTTCATAATATATATAATATATATTTAAAATGTCTTCATACTTCTCGATATTGCATAAATATGTTTCCTCCGTTGTAACCACGAGAAAGAATAAGGAAAATTCTTAATCCTAAATTAACCAAATCGCTACAAGTTCTCCAATGATAATAAGAATAATAGATCTAATCATGTATATTACGTAGTATCTGTTTCTGTACATAAACCTATGTCTTTATGTCTCCATTAACTCAATTACAATTTACCAACGATTGTGGATAATTGTAAAATCGTTAATATTCACTCTTCTCACATTTTCCCATCATTTTCATTTCCTAGTGACAAATAATCGATGAGAAAAATTAAAAATTAATCAGAATTATTAGGACAATAATGTAGATGGGATGCAGATGAAACAACGAGGAAGTCTGTTTGACGACTTAAACAATTATTTTTACAGTATAAGAAACAATCGGAGGAATTGTTGGATTAATTTGATCATTCGATTCAGAGGGAAAATATTAATCTATTATTCTGGTTTCACTGCATTTTCCAGGGAAGATGATTCTTTTGGTTGATTTGGCAAAGTCAGGACTTCGCTGCTCATTCGAGCCACTATCACCTAATGGACGTTATCTGATAATAAAGGAATAGTCAATCGTTTTGTTCTCTTCCTAATAATGGAGTCGTGGGAGTTTTACGTTATCATCGGCTAATTGCACTTTACCTCCAACGTTATCTCATTTTTAATACTATATGGGTGATTAAAATGACTTAAAATGGGGGAATTTTTCATCGTATTGGATTAATGGGGAGCAGAGGACCTTTTGCATCCACAGATTTTCCTACTCGATTATTTACATGTCGACTTAACTTCGCATTCGCCCTGCGAATTTATTTTCAAATTGTTATTTATCGTTCAGTTTATAGGGCTTTCGCTGTTGCCTCTTGCTTTCAGTTCTCATATCTGTTTTCTTTGTTTTTTTTAAAATGATGATTCAATGGTGTAGAAAAATACTAGTGATACTCATTGTCGTTGCACAGGCAGTGTAGTTGATATCGATTTGTTTCTCTTCGCTAAGGCACCAAACTTTATTTCTTTTTTTTTTACTCGAATTCTCAGGCATTTCGAGATTCAACCTGCATGCTTCGACAAATTTAACGGCACATCTGCAACAAATTCGGGGAATTCAGGAATTAATTTTGGTGGTAGATAATCGATTTTAATTAATTCACAGTAATAATGTATCAGATTGTCGAATTATTCTGAGGAAAGAGAACAGATTCTCAACGAAATCTTGAAAAAAGGAGAGAAAAAAAATTGTGAAACAATATTGAAATAACAATTTTGTTTAAATTTGTTTGTGTGATTGTTAATAATTAATTGGTGTACCCCCAACAAGATTTATTTGAGAACCTTTTTGTGTTCTTAAATCAGCAGCTGAATATAAATACCTGATGGAGGTGTGAGAGTTTGTTCCCTATAATCCTTATAATGATGAACCGGTGGAGACGATGGATGTGGAGGTGGTGGGGGTGGATAAATGGGAATAGGTGGTGGATAATGAACAGGAGGTGGATAGTGCATCCAGAGGCCTGGGGCCCTGTAGGGTCCGGGTGGTAGCATTGGAACCCCATAAATTGGATGATGAATCGAGGTGTTGGCAGAGGCAACGAATGGATCGATTCTACCCCTAGGGTAGGAATGACTCGACGAGTATTTGACAGCATTGTCCTCGAGCTTGAGGAGATTCCTGAGGAAGCCAGGCTCTGGACTGGGTTTATCCTCACCTAAAATACTGGTGATACTGTACGAAGACAATTGCTTCTGGGATTGGACAGGGGGTGTTGTTGTGGGGGCTATTGGCTGGGGTGTGACACGTCTTTTTGATGCCTGATCTTCGAGGGTAACTCTCTCCAATTCTCTCAGTATTCTCTTCCTGGGGGAGACGACATTTGGATCTAAACGCGAGAGCTTGTCGATTATAAGAGTCAGTGCCTTCCCTGGGGTCACGTTGTTCGACTTTGTTGGGGGCTTTTGGGGCCTCGTGGGGGTCTCCGTCAGGAGGGGAAGGGGCCAAGGATCCAGGGGACGTCGACGTATGCGAGACAGTTGACGAGGTGGTGTCGAGAGACCATTTCGAGGGTCACGATGGTAATAGAAGTTGAACTCCGTTGTCACGCAGCGTCGTGGGTGGCTCTGCTTCCAACAGTGATCTCGCTGCCAGGGACTTGATTGGATCGACGAATTGTCATCCGATACTGAAACGTCAACAAAGAGTTTTCCATGAAAAACATATCCAAGGAAGGCACCGTTTTTTCACTTCCCTGAAGTCGTTAATTACTCAACGAATATCTCTGACTCTAAGAGAGTTATTAAAAATTTCCATTTAAATGTCATTCATGAGGGTAATTACAGTACTTAAAAAAACATGTTTACAAAAAAATTGTCCGGCTCTCTCAGATCGTGAGATATTTCTCGAAAACTAATTCATCAGTAAAAATAAAAAGCTATTTGGTACGGATCAATTAAACTACATTATTCGAAAATTAATCGAATAACAACTGATTAAAGGTGTGAAAAAGTGATGAATTACCACTGAGTGAAGTTGAGCTCTCCTGTCTATTCGGTGTGGTGCTAGCAGGGGGCCAAAAAGTTTTCTTGGGTACAGGAAACCATGTGGTCCTCTCGCCATCCCTCCTGTGTGACAGTTCAAGTATAAACTTGCCATCCTTAAAGAACTTCAATCTCCCTCCAGGTGTGGGTAAACAGTTAGCCTCTCTGTCAATAGCCCTGTCTCCCCTTGGGCTCGCCTGTGGCGATGAATTTTTACCATTGGCCTTGGCAAGGGCTGGATGCAGAGCGGGAGGATCACGCGAGCACATCTCTGTCGTGCCCCTCACGTACTCTACGTGAGTGGGACATTCTGATGACTTCTCCCGCATACTGATACCCTACCACCACCCATCCCTTCAACGTTTAACCTCTCATCTTCCACTCAATCCCCCCAAAATCTTCACTCTCCAGTCTACCTTTCCCTGGTGCCCCAGATGATCCCCAAATGATCGTCAGCCCAAAAACACCTCGAAAAAATCGTTGTCACATCACCAGAACCCCTGAACAAAATCCAACAGCCACTTATCCTCCACGATAACAAAAAAAATTGTTGTCAATCGACAGTCAGTCTCCACAGAGCCACATTGTCCCTCTCATCCTCGAGGATATTAAATGAAAAATCTGACAATCAGGGAAGAACCCACGAAGGGTGGAGGACGTGTTCGTGTCACGAAAGTCCAGGAATTCCCATTCCTGCCACTTGGCATCGACCCACAACCCACAACAAACTTCACCAGCCCCCAAAAACACCTCCAACAAGACAATTACTCACAAATACGTCAATTACCCCTTTTCACCAGTTAAAAAGTAATAAAATCCAGTGGTACACCACCCACGCACCAAACGGTGGCCCTTCCTCCTTGAAAAACTTGAATTCAACCCCACAATCGTCTTATTTACGCCTGACTCGGCACTTGATTACATTTACACGATTTTAGATTGTTTATCAGGATAATTGGAGGCTCTGATGTTCTTATTCGTCACTCAGTCACGATAATCACGATAATTTCAATAGTTCACTCTGGGTTACGTTGTGGACAAGTTCTGTGCGTTCCCTCAATGTTGGATCCACTCTAATTGAGATGAGAGTTATCATTCAGGGGCTCTGGGGATTTCGATGATTAAAATCCATGGAGTGCACCATGCTGGGTACATTGAACGTGTTGGAATGATTTATTCGTCTGTCTCAGTACCACAAAAAGACTCGAAGAGCTCCTGGAGGGAGACGATGCACTAAATAAAATCAGATGAAATATTTGTATTTGTCTGGTAGAAGGAAATAAATCGTCACTCGGATGGTAGAAATTTCCGCGCGTCGCCGGCTGATGGTTTTCTACCCAATTTCACTCGTCCAATCGTTTTCATACAACCGTCCACCATTTCTCGTTTCTTATTCCTCTTATTTTAACTTTCATTTTATTCTCCGTGCCGATGTTTCGATCCCCAAAAATTCCTAAATTACAACTGTGGATTGTTGCGCGGATTTATTTTCAATCATTCACTGGATTGTGATCCATCAGTGGAGGTTGTGGGGCACACCAGGCTGGGGGATTTAATTGGAGGATTTTGTGGTTGTGGATGGAAAATAAAGGAGAAAAAAACGTAATAATAATAAACGGAAAGCGGAACCCCGAGAAATTTTCTCTCGTGTCTACGTCCCGTGGGTTTAGACCTCTCACTTTTTTTAGGTAGTGTCTCACTCACTCTTGGGGACCGACAACACCTCCTCGTTTCTTCATGCCAAATGCGTTCCGCTGGGTTCAGGACGGTTTCGTGTTCCGCTTGTTCCTCGGGTTCGGCTGGTGAACCGTCGGGGATTAAAAATTCCATCTCTCCTCCACGGGGTTGAGGTTTTTTAACGGTTTTAGTCTGGGGGGGACACACGGTACTCCCACGTCTTCCTTCCATATTTTTTTAAATCTCCTTCTTATTCATAAACACAATATTCGAGTTTACAGATCAAAGGATCGAAAGGTTTCGGAGAAATTTTGCAATTTAGGGTGCAATTCTGATTGTCAGTGGATGTTTGTTATTTTGAATAATAGCTGTATTGTGGTTACAATTTATTTTGATGATTTTCTTTCTATTGGTTTTTAGGAATTTTTGGCACAATTCAGCCACAATAATTAGTCGGACCAGTCTGTCCTCTTGGAGTCGATCCGTGGGAAATTGGGAATGATAAAAAGGAAGATTTTGGAATCATGTCGATTCAAAATCGTGTCACGCATGATAATTTTGGTTACTTTTGATAGACTAGTTATTTTGTAATCATGAACGATCATTTGAAGAATCCGGTGCTGTTCGTCGGTGATATCGATGGAGATATCGATCTGTCACAGCCTCCGATGTCAGGGGAGGACTACATAAAACGTGTTGTGTAGGACAATAATAAACATTATATTTATTGGGATTCCCCAGGTAGATTCATCTTTTTTTGCTACTGATTTTTTTCTCTTCAGGATTGAAGCGAAACAATGTGAGGACGTCGTTGTAGCAAGGATCGACGAGGCTAGACTGAAAAAACCAACTGTCAATGTAAAAACTGTAATTATTGGCCATTGATGACAATTAATTCGAGTTTTATACCAATTTTAGATCATATCTCGATTGGTAGAAGGTCTTAGGGTACCTGAAACCTGATCAAATGTAATGCATCAAATTTGACATCCTTCGTTAATTGATATTTTCCAACAAATCCAGTAGTTTTTTATTTCAACGTATATCTAATAAAGCTTCATAATTAGAGTTTATTTCACTGTGTAAAATTTTGGCTTTTGGCTAATGGATTTTCCAGTGGAATTAATTGAGGAATTTTATTTTTGAAACAGCTGGGTGGATGTTTGGAAGCTCCAGAAAACCTCAGTCCCACGTATGAATGGCAGAAATGTCAGATTGATGATTTTTCGAGTGTCAGACTGAAGATCTCGAGGATAAAAGCTGAGAGAGAGAATTATCGCCAGTACAGCAGGACAACTGTGAAATTCGTAAGAAAATCCAGTCGTTAATTCTGTTGTGAATTCTGATTTAATCAAGTTCGATGCAGATTTTCTTCGTTCGTCTTGAAATAATGATCGCTTTCTTTTCAGCCAGATGTGGATGACAAAAATGGTTGGGTGAACTTTTGCCTCGGTTCTGCGGCTGAAGAATCGGCCCCTCGACATCCAACACTCGATATTATTTTTTGCTTGAATCAGGCACAAGTCGAGCAAGTGTTGGAGTACCTGATTGAAGAGGTGGAGTCCAGGGGAACAGTCGACTGTGACTTGGGACAGTGGATTTACGCCCTTCTGGCTGTTTTAGAGCTGCCACTAAATCCCGACGTTTGCTCATCCTTGAGGACTCTGGCGAGATCTTGTTCGGTGGCAAGAGCTAATTTGGTATTTAATTTGACATTTCCAATTTTGTGGAAAACTTTTATCCTTAAGTTTATTTAATTAATAATCATCAAGGGATTTAAGATTCATACCTTCATCGAATGGAAATTTCTAATTGAACGGGGGTATGACTCATCAATTAAATGAAAACTCTGGAGATTATACACTGGATATCCTGAAATGTTTGTACATAAATTTTCAATTGAATTTTCATTATTTTAGGATCCAGAAGAACACGAAAAGGTGAAAGCCCTGAATTTATTTATTTGTTTGGTGGCCAGGTACTTTCGACAACTGGACTTAGCAGATCCGTAACGAAAAAAAAAAGTTTGTGGGAAGAAAATAAAAAAAATTGATAAACTCTGTAATCTAAAAAAAGTATTTATTATCCATTACCATTTACGATCAATTAAATCACAAGAAGAACGTCTAAATGACACGAATGATTCGAATTTCTCCGAAGAAAGACCGAGACTCATACAATGCATCAATATTAAAATAGGAAAATCATACACCGTGTTCTTAACTAAATTATCAATAATTATAACATCAGTTACGTTTTGTCTTCAGGTTTTTATAATACCCAACTTGTTCATCAGCCAATGGACTCCTGATCCTGAATCAGAGCCGTCGCTAATCTCTCAAGGTCGTCGAAGCTCAGACTATTGACTTTATTCCTTAAATCCTTTATCAACTCATTGACTATTGATTCAGTCTCAGATTCACTGTAATAGTGTTTGAGGATTTTCGTTACTGATTCTCGAAGCAGAACTGTTCCACATTTAGTTACTTGTGGTTCGTCACTCGGTCCTTGGGACGATTTCTTCACTACGAGGTTTAATTTTATTCCATCCTTTATTCCTGGATAAAAACTCAGGGGATTTTCGTCTGAAAAATGAAGAAAATCAGAAAAAAATCCTGAAAATAAAAAATTATACGAATATTCCAGAACCTGCAAGTGCTTTTCCAGTCAACAAAAGTTTCTGCTGAGGTACATCAACACCCAAAAGCTCTCTGACTCTGTTTTTCAGTTCCAGAACAGTCGCCGTAGGTGATATCTACCACAAAAGAAATAAAAACAATCTAATTGTATATTAATTTGTGTAAAAGGGATTAATCCAACATCGAGTGACTGATTTGTTGTTCAGATATATTAATAGAATTCCTGGAAATTATAAAATGTGCTGGACAGTGAGAGGTTTAGAATCCAATAAAAATGGTGAGAAAAAACCCACCAAATTAATTTGACAAATTGGATCAATTCTGGAAGGATTGATGATGAAAGGAAATCGTGCTGTCACTCAGGTGACTCAATTCAACTCACCTCAACCACACAAGCCTTTCCTTGCAATATCTTTACCAAAACCTTCATGATGGATATCCCTAGGTGCTGAATTCCCTCGCGAAATTTAATCCCTCGCCTTCCGAATTCCCACGTCAAAGTCCTGACGATAAACAACAGTACGTGGACAACGTCGATGTCTTCCCATTCATTTTACTTTGCAGGTTAATTTCCTCGAGGCTTACGTATTCATGATTCACTGTGTGTGTACCACATGGAATGATACATGCAGGAATTAAATAGAATTGCGAGATTCTGATTGGATGAGAGCACGTTACCGTTGACTTTTTGGCGGTCGTTCGAACTCTTGAGGTTATAAAGGATTTTCAGAGTTTTTTTTTGAGTGTTTCGAGTTTTCTGCAACGAATTATCGGAATTTTCGTAAGATTATGGAGGAGGACAGAGGTGAGTCGAACATGGAAAGCATTGACGAAGGAAAATCAACGAGAATCACCTGTCGTGGGGATCTCACTCCTTTTTTTGAGAAGAGGGATCACAGCATCAATCAAATTCATCAGACTGAGGTGATTATGAAAGAAAATTAATCCTCAATTTATGAGGTGTCATTTAATGTTTAGTAAATGGGTATAGGATTTATTAGTTTCTAAATCTTTAGAATTTTTAATTACTTTTTGAATGAATGTGCCTAGGTCCCTCAGATCTGCAAAGACGAGCCCTGCCAGCTGGGAGTGGACGAGGCAGGGAGGGGTCCAGTCCTGGGGCCAATGGTCTATGGGATAGCGTATGCCCCTCTCTCTAGGAAGCAGTTGCTGGTAGATCTCGGGTGTGCAGACTCCAAGACCCTCACCGAGGACAAGAGGGACGAGATATTTGATAAAATCTGCGACAACCACGATGACATGGGATGGATCGTGGAGGCCATATCCCCGAACAGCATCACCACCAGCATGTATAGAAGATCGAAGACGTCCTTGAACGAGGTCTCCATGAATTCAGCAATAGGATTGATTAAACGAGCCATCGAGGCTGGTGCCAACATTGTGGAGGTGTACGTGGACACTGTGGGAAAACCAGAGAAGTATCAGGCAAAGCTAAAGGCCATTTTCCCAGACATCCCCAAGATTGTGGTAGCCAAGAAGGCTGACTCGACGTATCCCATCGTCTCAGCTGCCAGTATATGCGCCAAAGTCTCCAGGGATCACGCCCTGAGGGCCTGGAGATTCAGGGAGGGATCACCAAAGGGTGAGCATGGCAGTGGATACCCCAATGATCCTCTCACCAAGAAGTGGATGAGTGAGAACGTCGATCCTGTTTTCGGATATCCACAGATCGTCAGGTTCAGCTGGTCCACTGCTCAGACCATCCTGGGGGAGAAAGCGGTTGACGTTGAATGGGAAGACATCGATGACGAGGACCTCCAGACTGAACCCAATGAGCAGAAGATCTCCAAATTCTTTGAGAAGCCTCAGAGGAAGAGCCACGAGTTTTTTACTGATCGACGTCTCGCTGTAACTCATGAGCTTTAAATAGTGAATTCATTGTTTTAATTATTTCTAAGGCAGCAATGAAAAATCAAGTCTTTCGTAATTTTTTTTTATATACATAATGTATTTGGTGGGAAAATTTTTTATGAAAAGAAAACGGAATTAATTCTGTAATTGATTTTTTTTTCGTTTGTTGCATTTGAATCTTAGGATTTCGCGGGGATTTTATTTAATCGATCATCAGCTGATTAGTGCATGTGGTAAAGCGCTTGGAGTAGTGAACGCAGGGTTTCTTGTTTATATAGAGATTTTCCTGTTTTTAATTAGTGAATAATTGGGGAAATGAGCAAAAAGGGGAGAGGAAAGCAGGGGGACCTTGGAAAAGCGCTTCTTCGAGATCGTTTCGGAGTGAACAGGTCGAAACGTGGGGCTAAAGAGGGTTCATTGGTGAGGTTATGACATACATGTGTTCTAAATAACATGTTGAACTATAAAACCTCTCATTCTTCAATCTAATCCATAAGATAAAGTTTCTTTTTTACTTTTTCCACTTTTTTTTAAAACTCGATACGTAATTTTCTCTATCTCACATCTCAACAACACAACTCGTCTAATCGAATAATAAAATGTAATTCCTGAATACGATAATCAATCTAAATAAAAAAAACAGATAAAATTTCAAACGAATTACAGTATTTCTTTTAATTATAGGTAATTAAAGAAAAATAATTCGGAATGATTGGTACTGTCTCCCCAAATATATGAATAATTGTATATACTATTTTGGATCATGAAAAATATATAGGAACATTATTTTTTGATTGATTGTAAATGCAGGATAATGAATGATATAAATAAAAATTGAATTGTTTTATAGCTCCACACATCAGACATAAATGACGGTTATCAATGGGACCGTTTGAATCTCTCCTCAGTGACAGAGGAGAGTTCCTTCCAGGAGTTCCTGTCGACAGCTCAGCTGGCAGGCACCGAATTCCACGCCGAGAAGCTCAACATCAAATACGTGAATCCCCAGAGTGGAATTGGAATTCTATCGGAGAGTGAAAGATCAGCGCTCCTGGAGTTGCATAAATCGAATGAGTCCCTGCTGAAGATCCCCAGGAGGCCGAAGTGGGACGCCCACACGAGTGCTCACGAGCTCCAGACGAAGGAGAAAGAGGACTTCCTGGAGTGGAGAAGACAATTGGCTCTTCTCCAAGAGGCCCAGGGGCTCACACTGACTCCATATGAGAAGAATCTGGAGTTCTGGAGGCAACTCTGGAGGGTCGTCGAGAGGAGTGACATCATCGTCCAGATCGTCGACGCCAGGAATCCTCTTTTGTTCCGTTGCGAAGACCTCGAGAAGTACGTGAAGGAGATTGACGAGCACAAGAGGAACGTCATCCTCGTGAATAAGGCAGATTTCTTGACCCAGAGCCAGCGAATCCTGTGGACTGAATATTTTACCAATATCGGGGTGAGGATTGCATTTTTTTCGGCTACAGAGGCCGCTGAGTCAATCAAGTCTCAAATTCCTGGAGGAGAGGTGATTAGAAACAGAAAGAGGAGTTCGAGGATTTCTGAGAGTTTCCAGGAAGATTTATGCACTCCTGAGAACGAAGAGGGTAAGGATGATGAAGAGGATGAAGAGGATGAGGAGGACGAGGAGTCCTCTTATTGCTCAGACTTTGCCTCCGGTAGTGAATATGAGAGTGCCAACGAGGATTTGACTAACGGAAACTCTCAAGAAGAGGAAATTCCTGATGAAAAACCAAAAGATTTTTCCAATTCTCCAGCGCTGTTATGTCGAGATAAATTGATCGAATTTTTCAAATCTATGGGGAAGGACTTGAAGAAATACACTGAGGGGGTGACGACCGTGGGACTGGTGGGATATCCCAATGTGGGGAAGAGCAGTACGATAAATGCTATTTTGATGGACAAGAAGGTCTCGGTTTCTGCCACTCCAGGAAAGACCAAACACTTTCAGACACTTTTCGTGGATAAAGAGCTGATGCTGTGTGACTGTCCAGGCCTGGTGATGCCCAGTTTTGTCTGCACCAAAGCAGAAATGGTGCTCAATGGTATTTTACCCATTGACCAGCTGAGAGACCATGTGCCTGCTGTCACACTCCTGGCGACGCTTATTCCAAGACATGTGCTGGAAGATATTTATGGCATCATGATACCCAAACCTGGGGATGGGGAGGACCCCGAGAGGCCCCCCACGTCTGAGGAGCTGCTCAATACTTATGGATATTATCGAGGATTTATGACGCAAAATGGACAACCAGACAATCCCAGATCAGCTCGTTATCTCCTCAAGGACTTTGTGAATGGCAAGCTTCTGTACTCTGTGGCTCCACCAACGCAGAATCAAGAGACATTCCACTCATTCCCTCTCAGACGAAAGCCCATTCCTGACACCAGAGCTCTTCCCCCGAGGCAGGTTCGAGCTAGTCGAGGGGTTGCGGTGAACACCGAGGAGATGGACAGAATGTTCTTTCAGGGGAACAACAGTGGAGTCCACGTGAAGGGACGCCCAGGATCTGCCAAGGTACAACCAGAAAACCTCGGGGACAAGCCCTGGAAGAAGATGAATAAGCATGGGAATAAGAAGAAACGAGAGAAGACTAGGAGGCTCTACGCACACCTGGACCAACACTAAAATAATCCAGTGTTGATTAATTGAGATAAATTCATGTTTTTTCTACTGTGATGTATATATTTCTTCCTCCCTCATTTTCCTTAATCCAGAAGCAAGAATTTGGTAATAAATAAAATCAATTATAGCTCCTTCTCCATTTATTCAAATGTTTCTTGTCTTCTCTCGATTAATTTTCGGGAGTCACAGCTGATCGTTCAGGTTCTTTAATTCTCATTCGGACGTACGACTGGAGTTTAAACGAATCTTATGGATTTAATGTGGAACAGGTTTTTCGTTAATTAAAAAAATCGCAGGGAACATCATCACAATGAAATTGGAAGGACTTGCTCATTCTACGTGAATTGAACTCTCAATATTGTTGATGAATATCAATTATTTAAAAAATCATGAAGTTTGTGTCGACCAATTGCTCATGAAAATGCATCGCAGATGCATTAAGATGAATTAAAGAACGTTCAACCTCTTCTTCTCATTCAATTTCTATTTACAATTGTTAATTATATAGTTATTCGTCCTGTTCCTTGGCACTCGTCCTCTTTGTCCAATGATTCGAAGTTCTGAGGCTACAAAATTAAATTAAAAATTATTGTTACTCTCAGTTGTTCCACTTCAGATTATTCAGTAAAATAGTATGGTGTGTAGCATCGGTCGTTGGAATTTGGTTGACTCGAACTCGTAGAGAAGGCTGTCGATGTCGTTGTCCAAGTCGTCAGAATTCGCCAACTGAAATAGAGAAATTGTCTCATTATGTAATTTATTATTCTAGCATCAATTGCAATTTTCTGTCACGTCTTATTGTACAATACCGTTGTTACTAATTCACAGATGAGGAAGGATCCGACTGTCGCCTCCTCGTGATTATCCTGGATGTCGATATTAATGAGATGAACTGGCTGATTGTCCACGGGAGTTCTGGATTCCATGTACTCGATCACTTGGTCGTAGACACGTTCCTCACACGTCACTAACAAATCGAATTTCTCTTTGCTCAGTTGAAAACGCTCTGGCCTCGGTTTTATCCGTCGATTGCGGTCTAACATGTGTAGCAAACCCATCTGTGTGTATCTGAGTTGTTGAAATAATTGTACAGAGTCAAGGAAATATTGTTTTGCATTGGTTACAAAGTTTAACAATTATCCCTCGATGATTCACCTAGAAATGAACATCCATCACAGGCAGAAGACACTACTCCCTGAATATCTGAAGAAGAACAAATTTTAGAGAAAAAAAGTATAAACATTCTTTGTAGAGAGTTTTCTCCCCAAAAAAAAATTCCTCTTATATTTTTCTCTAAATTCAGTAATTCCTTAAATATTCCCCTAATCAAAGTTGAAAAAGAGGCAAGTGCACCCCTCACTTGGTTCAGTTTTTCCAATATATTTCAGAGATGACGGGAGATACCATAATTTTTGTCATACTCTTTTTTATAGAGTTTAGTGAGATCTATGATAATGATTATGATAAATATTTCGCTATCTTCCTTAATTCCGGAGATATTCTTGAAAAACCTATCATAGGGGGAAGTTGACTTGCTTCTTTCAACCACTTCACTAGTTTTATATCTTCTGAGGTTTTTAGGTTCTTCAGAAAAATATCGTGATGTCAATTAAACATAGGCTTTAACGTTGTTAAGGATACAGTTGTTTATCCTTGGCTAGCAAATCGTTATAGATTTCGTCGTAGGTCGTGCCAAAATCGTAAACATTTGGTCTGTCAGGACCACTCCCTGGAAGTTTCACTTTGTCCCCCGTCCCGAAAGACTTGACATTGAATCCCTTTTTGCTAAAAATACGAAATCCAGATAAATTAATTGACAATCCTGAGAGCCCCACCAATTTTACTACCCTCCGAATTCTGATTTTACCTCAAAAAGGCATGTGCCTCCATACTCCTATTCATGTTACTAGAACATATGACAGCGACGCTCAAAGACTTGGACGATGGCATTTTACCGATACAAACGACAATTTCACGTGAAAATTCCCCGATATAGAAATACAATATCGAATTATCAATATAATCTACGTAAAAAATATGTTTCGTCTATCAAGGTTGCAATTAACCTTCAAACCCTCCAATCCCAGATTAAAATCAATTAAAATGTGCAATTGATCTATCTCCGGTGCTCTATCTTCGAAGAAAACGGAAGTTGCAAGTTAATGAATTAATTTTAGTGTCAATACAATTCTCGCTGGCTTATAATGGAATTTCCCTGATACTTTCTCCCTTGAAATTGTTTTCATTCACCCAAAACCAGAGAAGATGCCCTACGTGTCTGCGCAAGTGCAGAAGTGCTAGGGCTGCAGCGACCTCTGCGTTTTTTCCTTTATTTGAAAAATAATAATGAGTTCCTTAGATTTTATTTAACGCAATGAAATTCCAGAGAAAAGTGATGCACTTGCTTCATCAGGGAGAAGGAATGCTCTAGTATTTTATTTATGAGAGAATGATGAAATATTCACTAAAAAATATTCAAAAAATGTGATCACCAGAAGAATAGACCTGGAGAACAATTGTAGTACCGACCTCTCGGTAAGGGCGACGCGATAATCTTACAGTGTAGATAAGGTATGATACAGGGAGGTATTGCCAAGCTTTGATGTCGCCGACACCAAAACAGGGGACAAGTACCTTCAGACGTCGTACGTAGCACAGTATAACGCCTTCTCCTCATGTGCGTTTCATCCCCACAATTCAGCGATTTCTGGCGTTTGCATTTGAATGCCAGTCGAGTCGTTTGATTTTTGTCTACAAAAGCATAAATGAACAATGGGTATATGATTATTTCAATACGAGAGATTCATCCCCAGTATTGACTATTTTTTCATAAATCAAGTAATTAAAGTGAAACTCTTTCCACGTCACCCAAGGGGTAGAGTGCTTGACGCGTTTTTTTTAACGTGGTATCCCCTGTAGGCCTAATCCACGAAGTCAATAAATGGGAAATTGTTATGATTTGAAAACCTGGAATCAAAAAAGAACCATGACATTTATTAATAATAAATAATAATGAATGAATAATAAATTCATCAATTTCTATGGATATTCGTAACTTTTCGTGAGGTTTCCTAGTTTAAAGAATTGGAATCTGAAAAGGAAGTTCTGATCGCTGGAAATCGTTCTCTGGCCGAAGTCAATCTAGCAAAGCAACCCCAACTCGAGGAGAATAAAAAAGCATTACATGAACTGTCTGAAAGAAAGGCTGTGAGCTGCTGCTGAAATTGAAGAAGAATCGAAAGTAATTATTTAAGCAATTATATAAACAATTATCAAATGATAATTATGATTTTTATTTGTATTCTCCTTTGTGTCCAGAAAATAGCTGAGAAATTCTTGTCGGGAGATACAGAAGTCGATGAATTCCTGGATCAATTCTTGACCTGAAGAAAGATAATGCATTTACGAAAGGTGAAGGTAGACAAAATGCGAGAGCTTAAGAGGAGACCGAAATCGTCAACAGGGAATTATCCTAATGTGGATCAAAATAATTCCCACGATAGCCTTCATCTCAGACAAGACAAAAGACTACATCGTAGGCCTCACGGACCTCGGAAATTGCGACGATTTTTCCGCAGAGATGATGGAGTGGAGAATAGTCCAGTCTGGTGCAATATCATACGCTGGTGACCTGTTGAATCCACCAGAAAAGGGAAAGAAGCCGTCCAATCTACTCTTTGGAAACAAAAAACCAAAAACAATTCGAGGTAGAACGAATTCTGGCCACAGTGGTTCTGATAACGAATGATTTATTCTCATTCGATCGGATTTTCCTAGTTATTCGCATACCTTTTTGGATTATTATTATTTTTTTACATCACGCACACTGATAAATGATAAAGTACGAATTGAATCAATCTGATCAAACACAATAAACATTTATTTATGGGTTTATATTGAATTTTTATTTGAGTTATAAATACCTTCAGCCCTCCTTATAAGTAAAAACTGAAATATAAAAATGTTTCATCAGGAATATTATGGAATGATATCACTTTTACATGACCTGCATACAGAAATAAATTTATAGTAGTTTTCAAAAAGTGCACTATCCACTCTGGGTCGAATTTAAAGATTACCACACACTGAAAAGACACACAAAACATTGGCTTTTAAAATTGTATTTAATCGGTAAATACTACATATACATATTAGGCTACGGTGCATTTACCTGGATATATGAAAGTATTTTTGAATGAACCTTTTTGTTTAGACTCATCTCGCTCATTCCACAGGGTCTTCCCATCGCAGGCACAAATTCTTTTCGTATTTTCGAAGACTCCTGAAGATCTCGCGATAATTCCACACGCTAGTCTGTGGAATAAATTATTAAAAGTGTCGAGTAAAAGCAATACGAAAGAAATCATTCATAAACTCACTTCTGGCCACTATTTCCATCAAATTTTAATGTTGAACTATTCCCCTTGTCCAGAACACCGGTCGCCTCTGTATTAGCCTCAACCATTTTCTCTTCACTCTCTAATATTTCCTTTCGTTTTCTCAATTTAGTCAATAGTATATAGACTCGTCCTTGAATCCCATGATAGTCTAATTCTTTTCTAACGACTTCTGCGGTCTGTGATATAGTCTGAAAGGCATTGGTCATTTCAAAAGCCTGACTTTTTTCTGATAACGTCTCAGCAGTTCCCTTCGTAGATTTTGAAATTTCCTTACCCAATTGTCCAGCTTTTTTACCCAGCTCCGTTTTTCCTGCCTCGTCGATGACTCCCTGTACCTTCTCCTTCATCCCTCCAGCTTCCCTTTTAATAACTCTGAGCTCTTCGATGCCTCAGATTCCACTGATTGGAATTTTTGACGAGCTGATTTCAAAGCCTTCCACTGCTGATTATTTGTGTTTCAACGAATTAACAGTTATTAAAAATATCTTCACAAATTTGTCAGTGATGTTTACTTGATTTACTTCAATAATAATTTAATATCATACTTACTGTTTTGGGCGAAGATATAAAATACGACGTAAATTTAAGGCCCGGATGAATTATCTGGAAAATATAATTTACTCCGAAATTTGGACTGCTAGTTACTCCGGAAATTAATCGTTTTTTCCAATAATTGTTAGCTAGCACCGTAATGGTTGTCAACAACTAGAGCGCTAGCTAACAATTATCGGAAAAATCAATTAATTGGTGGAGTAATTAGGAGTGCCAATTTTGGAGTAAATCATCTTTT